GCAGCCCAAAACCACAGATGATCTCACCCAGCGGCTTCACATAAATGTTGAACAGGAGCAGCGAGAGGACCGACCCTTGCGGCACCCCGCAAGCAAGGCGCCTCGAGGTCGACCTCTGCCCCCCTGCCAACACAGACTGAGACCGGTCAGAGAGATAACACGGTGCCTCCCACCCCCAATCCCTCCAGCCAGCGCAGCATGATACCATGGTCGATGGTATCAAAAGCCGCTGAGAGGTCTAACAGGACCAGAACAGAGGAATAACACCTGTCCCGAGCCCTCCAGAAATCATCCACCAATGCGACCAATGCCGTCTCCGTGCTGTACACAGGCCTGAAGCTGAACTGGCACGGATCTAGATAGACGGTTTCATCCAGGTACTGTGGGAGCTGTCGTGCAACCACACTCTCCACAACCTTTGCAACAAAGCGAAGGTTGGAGACCGGACGGTAGTTTACCAAAACAGCTGGGTCCAGAGAAGGCTTCTTGAGGAGGAGCCTCACCACCGCCTCTTTCAAGGCGGGAGGCAAGAAACCCTCTCTCAGAGAAGCATTTATAATCCTCTGGAGCCAGCCTCGTGTTACCTCCCGGGTGGCCAGTACCAGCCAGGAGGGGCACGGGTCCAATAAACATGTGGTTGTGTTTAACCTCACCAGGTTCCTGTCCACGTCCTCAGGAGTCACAGGGTCGAACTCATCCCAGGTAACATTCTCAAGACCAGCCTCAGTCACCCCACCAGGATCTACACAGTCAGAGTCCAAGCCTTCCTGAATCTGAGCGATTTTATCGTGCAGATACTGTGCAAAATCCTCAGCCTGCCCTTGCAAGGGGTCTTCCCGCGCTCCCTGATGTAGGAGGGAGCAAGTCACCCTAAACAAGGCGGCTGGGCGGTTATCTGCCGATGCAATAAGAGCGGAAAAGTGGTTACGCTTTGCCGCTTTTATCGCCACTAGATAGGTCTTATTATGAGACCTAACTAGTGTTCGGTCGGATTCGGAGCGACTAGCCCTCCAACCGCTCTCTAGGCGTCTTTTCCGATGCTTCATCTCCCTCAGCTCCTCGGAAAACCAAGGGGCCGGGCAGGTTCGGCGTCAGGTCAGAGGCCGCAAAGGCACAACTCGGTCCAGAGCACCGGCGGCCGTCCTATCCCAGGCAGCCACCAGATCTTCAGCCGAGTCGTGAGCCAGAGTTTCAGGAACTGGCCCAAGCTCCCTCTGGAACCTATCAGGATCCATCAGGCGCCTGGGGCGGAACCACCTGGTCGGTTCCGCCTCACTGCAGTGGGGTGCAGTGGTCAAAAAGTCCAGCCTCAGGAGAGAATGGTCCGACCATGACAGGAGTTCAGTAACTATATCCCCTATATCCAGACCACTCAGCCACTGACCAGAGATAAAAACCAAGTCCAGAGTGTGTTCTCCCGCGTGAGTGGGGCCATGAATTAATTGTGTCAGGTCCATGGCTGTCATGGAAGCCATAAACTCCCAAGCCATCCCAGACGCCTCACCGGTAGACGGCAGGTTGAAATCCCCCATGACCAAAAGTCTGGGGGTATCAACCGCCACCCCGGCAATAATGTTGAGAAGCTCGGGCAGGGCCGCTGTCATGTGGCAGGGAGCCAGGTACGCGATCAGCAGGCCCACCTGCATCCCATGGCCCCACTTCACCAGGAGAGACTCACATCCAGCTATCTGAGGTACAGTGGCCTCCCTCGGATCAAGACCTTCCTTTATAACGACCGCCACCCCCCCACCCCTGCCCTGGGCCCTTGGCTGATGGAATGCACGGAAACCTGGTGGGCACATCTCTACGAGGGGGACCCCCCTCTCTTGGCCCAGCCAGGTCTCTGTAATACCTGCCAGGTCCGCACCTCCCTCCTGTATTAGCTCACAAATGAGGGGGGCCTTATTAATCACGGACCTGGCGTTGCACAGCATCAGTCTAAGGCCTGGATTCTGAAACTCTGGACAGCCGGGGAGACGAGAAGAGTCATGGGGGCCGAGGCATGCCACCGCTTGGAGATAGCGGGTGCGTGCCCCCACCACCTGATGTGGCCCCCTACTCCCGCCATATCTGCCCCTCCCAACCACGGTCCTGATAGAATCGCCCTCCACCCTATCAGCACTGAGCTCCTCCACACCCCGCTCCCCGCCTTCCATTCCATGCCCCTGTAACGGGCCTGACCTATGCCCCTCCCTCCCCACCCCCCACCCTAAACCCCTTAAAAGATTACAAAAAGACAATTTTAAAAAATCCCACAACCCCCTCGATGCAGCATGCCACCTCTCGGGGTTCCAAAGCCCATCATCGAGGTAGCCCTCGATAGAGTGGAGGGCCAAGCCTGCGAGAGGGGGGAGTCTCGCAGACCAAGAAGCTCCGCTGCGGAATACATCTTGACCACAGAGGATGAGAGCAACCATATCCTAGGAGTCCATATAGAAGGTCCAGGGGAGAGACATGGAATGGGAGTCTCAAAAGCATTTTCAACAAGACCAGGTCCACTGTCCCCTCACAACAGAGGACGAAGTCAGGTTCCAGGTCGACCACAGTCCAAGGGGGGGGATAGACCCAACCATCCTCTCAGGGTGGTCCGATCAACCAGTCGACCCCCTGTTGTGGTGAGATGGCAGCGATGAATCAATGCAGACAGCACAGCACCCGGGGCTCAGGTCCAAAAACCGCCCTCTCACGGCAGTTGGTCCGATGGTTAAGTCCCCTCTGCTGGCAGATGCAAGAAATTCGATATCATCCCAGTTCAGCCCCTAGGGGCCCCGACATCAGAGCTACCCTCTCACGGTGGTTTAACTGAGCCCAGCCCTCTCAGCTGATGGGATGGAGCATGTACCAGCCCCCATTCAGATTTAAATAGTCCTCCCCACAGTTAGGGAGAGTTCAAATGAAAATAAACTTGGCGTCAAGTGAGTCAATAAACTAGCCGACAATCCAAGGTGGGCATAGTCCCGGCAGAGAAGCATTGGGGAGAAGCAGGGGCAGTTATCTCTAGCCCCCCCCCCAGCCCCCACATAAGCAATGGAGGCCTCCCAAGATCTAAAAGCGTCTCATGCCAGGTCCTCGCCCAACCCAAATGGCGGATGATCTCCCAGCCTCGTTGCCCCCCCCCCATATGTATGTTCCTATGGTATTTACCTACAGGCATCTTGTAAATGATGCCCCCCACCCCCACTCACTCACCTAATTACAATGAATGAGCTCATATACCATACTTCACTTGTCTATCAGCAGAACAGGAAATGCTGTGGTTTGTTAGGAGAGGAACAGGTTTGAGTTCCCTATTGACATGCCAAAAATCTGCAGAAGGCACTTTTATGGTTAGCCTGTTTTTGTTGCCATAAATTAGGATTTGGTACAATCAGACTTTTTAAAAAGCCCCTGCCAATCCAAGAAAGAAGGTATTGATAATCAGTCAGCAAGTTTTCATGAATGCATAAGCTAACAAATCAAAACAAATGCTTTGGGAGCCCTGAAAGATGATCAAAGAAAATTCATATAAAATGTATTTTTATATTTTGTAGATGTTGTTCCTTTTGTTTCTGATTAACAATCCAACCAATGTAAGCATGTTTTTATTGTATTTTCTTCCTATCTTCTCCTCCATATTTTTCTAAAGTCTGTCTCAATATTCTCCAGACTTTATGACTCTAATAACAAACATTTAATCTCTCAGATGTGTCACCTTGGAATTCTTGAGTAAACCTCAAATATTTGTAGCCCTCGCTCACCTAAGCAATGCCTCTTTCAAAATTCTTCCTTAAACTCTTAAAGTGAGCTCCTTCAAACAAGAATGCAAGGTTTATAACAAAGGGGGGAGGAGGGTCGCTGAGAGGAATGAGACGCTCCTAACACTAGAGCCATTGTCTGCTGAACCTCGAAGAAAGCAGGGCGCATGAGATTTCCGGGTGCTGCAGAAGAAATTGCAAAAGCAGGCCAGCCAGAATCCCCCTTCTTGCTCTGAATGAAATGGGGACGAAGGGACGCTATTAAAAAGAAATCTGCATGATTTGATTAAGCAAAAAGTATTGCTCGATAACAGCAGACATGGACCCCCCAAAATATCAAGATATGCAATCATTTGAATAACAGAATCCCTCCTGGAAACAGCCACAGGGAAATCACGATTACGCCACTTTTAATGATACAAGCTGTTTCTCGTAGGAGTGCATTCTATCACCAATTCTGACGCACAACTTCCTGCAAATGTTAAAGAAACGTTTGTTGAGAATTAATAATCCTTTCGTCTGGTTACCTTCGTGCCATACTTGCACTCCCAATTAGCTCAGAATACTGAATTCTTTGTCCTCAAGGAAGATTTGAGTTAAGCTCCGAAACATCTTACGGTAAAGGTAGCCAGAGGAAGGATACAGGGTACGTTACGTTTACTTTCTCACTCACATTTGGTGTACATAAATTTAAAATAAAACACTCCCTGAGGTTTAGCACTCGCTAACCAGTTTATGAAATAGCCATCGATTGTTATATGCAGGACTGAATTTAGGCGTTGCCTACTACGTGCTCCTCCGTCAGCAGCCATTGTTGGCGCTTTCGGAATCCCCAGCAATCCGACTAAATTCCAAAGCTGCACGGGGACAACCCTCCCTCCACCCAGCATTTCTGGTTGAAGGGATACAGGATAACGTGAGGAAATAATACAGCGTCGCAAATTTCAGGCTTTGGCACCAAGATAGGCCTCCTACACGCATTACAGTATTGATCTTGCAGCCCGATGGCGAAATCATTTTTCAGCCCGGGGATAAAAGCCGCGTGTTAAGGAAAGTTCGCCCTCCCCTCTTTAGCTAGAAATAGCGCTTTCTTGGAAATCGAGCCCCGGTAACATTTCTCTCTTCGGGAGAACCGAAACTGGGCAAATGGCTCATTCTATAGCAAAGCCAAGACCGGGTTAATTGGAGGAGGGGTTTTCCGTTTTATGCTTGAACATTGAATGATTTTTTTTTAAGGGGAAGTCGAACTTTGCAGCGGCGGTGAAAGAGTTAAGCCGATTCGGGGTGACATCACTACAATTTGCATAAAAGCGGAGCTATAACTGGCCACGCAGTGAGACGCTCTTTTATATTACAGTTCAGAGCGGCTGCGGGAAGGTTTCGGGCTGCATCTGTCGGGACAGTCTCACTGGTAAGGGTACACGTTTAAGTTCTCTCGTGGGTGCTTTTGCATGTTTCCATTTTGCAGTTTCCCTTTCTGTACGGGTCAAAATTATTGGGGTGGGGTCTGGGCTAGGTTTGATTTTTAGAGGGGACGGATCGCTGCTTTGTCGAACGGGTACGCGGAGCAGTTCTTCCACGATGCCTCCATCGTGGAACAGCTCGGGGATTAAAATGGGGGTGACCGTGGCGCGACGCAGTACAATGGCGGGAAGAGGTTTCCGCTCGGAAAGACATTCTGTAGCCGAACCTCGTTGCTGTGTCTCCGGGATTTGCTCGGGGAGGGAAATATGGGGTGAGGGGAGACATGCACGCGCCTCGCGCGCTTGCCGCGCAATGCCGTGGGCGATCGCGGTCATGGGGAGCCTCCGGGAGGAAGGCAGAAGGGCTTTGGGTGTGTTCGGTTAATTGGATGGGGGCAGTAGATGCGCTTTATTGCCCCGTCAGCCGGCCGGGCGCCCGTTTGGTGGGAAGGGCTGGTCTTTGTCTAACTCCTATAAGCAGTCTTGAGGAGCCGAGGGCGCTGAGCTGGAGGAAGTGCTGCAGCGAGAAAAAGGGCGGTGGTTGGGACTTCTCTTTGTGAAGAAGGCAAGGCGCCCGCCGACTGAACTAGGGAGCCAGACGCCCAAGATGGAGGATGTGCTTAGCATCGCCCGGGAGCTCCGTCTGGACACACTTACTCGCATCGAGCCCGCTTGGGCGTCCTCGCAAGAAATTCGCCTTTCTTCGATTTTCTCTAAAGGCTGCACATGTCCAGGCTGACTAAGAAAGAGATTGCTATCCGGCCACGCCCTCCATAAGCGATGAGGTTTAGTTATTTAAGGGGAGAAAGCAGATTATTTTTTATTTCTAACACGATTTTTATTATTTTTTTAATCTAATGCATCACTTCCCCCTCCCCCAACTGCTTCCTCAGGAGTCCTGCCATGTGGACTTGCAGCGATCCTTAGATTTTTTTTTTTCCTAGGCACATCAGATAGATGAATCTGTCATTCTGAATACATGGTTAAGGGTATGAAATAGGATTTTTTAAAAAGGGCTATTATGCACTATTAAAAAAATATGCTGAAGCTGAAAGAGCTGGTAGGAAATACAGGAATTGTCTCTGAAGGAGGGAAGGAAGGGTGTAGTATAACATCTTTTTTTTGTCCTTTTGTTCACAGATCAATCAATAACAATGTCTGACAAACCAGATATGGCTGAAATTGAGAAATTTGACAAGTCTAAGTTGAAGAAGACAGAAACGCAAGAGAAAAACCCACTGCCTTCAAAAGAAAGTAGGTGAAATCTTAGAAAAGAGGGCGTGGGCCACAGAGACAAAGAAGTCAGACCATCTTTACACATGCTTTTCTTACCAACTTCTTAATGTTACTGGGAATTTCATTAACAAAGTAGTATGTATTTCTGTATGTATGAAGTTAAATACAACTTGTATTTAAATTACAAATTTTAACACATTTGGTATTTTAACATTTGCATTTTGAATGCTAATTATGCAATTGCCATTTAATTTTTTTTTCTTTTTCTTCCCCACCCATCCTCTTTTCATTTTGTAGCAATTGAACAGGAGAAGCAAGCGGGTGAATCGTAATGAAATGGGCCCTTCCAAATTATGCACTGTACATTCCACAAGCATTGCCTTCTTATTTTACTTCTTTTAGCTGTTTTAACTTTGTAAGATGCAAAGAGTTGGATAAATTTAAAATGACTGTACTGCCCCTTTCACATCCCCCCCCCAAAAAAAGAACAGAGTGAACTACTGACGCTGAACGAAGGCACCTTCCTTTCCATCTGCCTGTCCAGCTTCTGGTCCAGTGGCACAAAAGCTTGCATGTTTCTTGAAAGAAGATTCTAAGAGGGACTACAGTAATCTAATAACACATGAATATACGCAAAGCTGTACCAGGGTCCTGCGAGCTGTAAAATGCATTTTAATCGAGTGCCATTTTTTTGTTCAAATAATTTTAATTATTGGAATGCACAATTTTTTTAATATGCAAATAAAATGTTTTAAAACCTGGATTACTTTTGCTATCTTTTCTTTTGGACAACGTTGCCTAAAGAAGAAGCATAAATGCCTGTGCTAACGTGGAATTAAATGCTGTCACGGAGGAATCCTGGCATTACATCAGTTTGAGACTAGGTCTAGGACCAAGCCTTTTTTTAAAAAAATGCTCTATTGTTCTCTAGAAAAGCACACCTTAGTGCAGGTGGATCTGAAGTTCCAAAGTCCAAATCTAATCTGACTTTTATTAGTACAACTCATTTGTATGTTGCATTTATTAGGAATTTAGCACAGGTAAAAATACATTTGAGCACTGGAAGGAACCACCCAGGTTAAGAACAATTAAGATTCTAGCATTTTCCCTCAGATGTTTCCCTCGGATGTTAACATTTTCAGGATTTTCCACCACTGATAATGGATTATTGGATCCAAAGGTGGGTATTGTGTGTGGCCCTTAAGATCAGCTAAAAGTTCTGTTGAATGTGTACCGGATGAAGGAAAGCATGATTTGTATTTTTAGTATTCAAAGAAAGCTATGGCTGCTATCATTGCAGTAAGGTATCAATAATGACAGTCACATTTTCAAAGTGACATTGAATTAAATGGCATTGCTCAAATCTCATGATTATATTGAAGTTGTCAGTTTTGCTTGATACTTTTATTAAGCTGTTTCCCCACGTACCTGATCTTTTATGGTTTGATGTAAGTTATGAATTGCAATTTTACTTCTTAAAAATTGGTTCCATGCAGCAATTGAATCCATGTGTGATCTTTTTGATGCCAAGAATGATGTCAGCTCTATCCTGAGTGGTCAGTAGGGATATTGGGAAAATTCAACATTTTATAAACTTCAGATTCCTTACCATTTTTTACACTGTAGTACACTTGTACTGCATCTAATTCTCTCAAAAATCATTGGAAACCTAAACCATGAAGAGAACTGGAAGACCAATTGCAGATTTACATATTTCACATATAAAACCCTATTGTACATGTGTGAGAAATGAATTTTGAAAGCAACTTGACACATGGAAGGTGAGTATGAGCAGTTCAAAACTACTGGGCAATTAATCCTGTTTGAATCAGTGGAGCTGTTTTCTGGGTAAACATTTCTGCACTGCTTGCATGCTACCTGGGTTCGGGCAATAGAACTGGTATTTCAAGAACCAGAATGGTAAGGATAAGAATTGGTTTAATAAAAAAAAATGTAACGGAATTGAAAAAAACTAGCTGTACTGTGGGTTTAAATTTGCTTTTGCTCTACCTATGGTCTGCACAGGAAATCATTTTGCTGAAGCTAAAAGAAAAGAGCCACCTACAGAGTAGTGATCTTAATCAGAAAGCACAGGATGTAAAGGGTGATGACTCAAAAATAAAGTCTACGGTGAATTCACCAATAAGAAAGTAAGAAGTGGACACTGCAATGGCTTGAATTACAATAGAAGACCTTATCTTTTAAACAAGGTGGCAGCCAAGCATTTTTTCGCTTAGGCTCTGATGACTATGCCTGGGGATTGACCATATGGTACTTGGCTGCAAATGACCAAATACAAGGTTATTCTTTTCAATTTTGTTTTGCTATGTTTACTAAGTTGACATACTGACTGGCTTCAAACATTAATGCCATGGATCCTTTCAATCACTTCATATTGAATAAACTATAGCAGTTGGATTCACATAGTATGCTGAGCCATAAGCAATAGTTAGAAATTACAGTGCCCACTATACTAAACTCCAAGAACGTCATGCCTTAGCTCACCCAACCATAGCATTTAAGACAGCTTTCCCTAATTGGATGCTGCTTAGATGCTTGAGACTATATTATTGCTAGTCAACATAGTTTACTGTCCTACAAGATATGAAATTGTATGACTTTGAACTTATGAACTTGACTCATATGCGCTAGTATTTTTACTCTTGTGTATGAAATATGTCTCACTACCTTCTCACAGCCTTCTGATGAAACTCATTCTGAGTATTAGTATTCTCCCAAAGTACTTAGAGTTAAAACATGGTGCCTTGTATCCAAGCCCTCTGTACAAATAAGTACCATAATAGTCCTTAGCATTTCCTGAAAATGGAAGAAGCAAATATGTGGTTTAGGAAATGAAAGGTATCTTCAAAACTTTTGACTGATATTTTGTGATTCAGAAATCACATATATCCATAAAGAACAAACCATTATGTAACTCGTTATTCATCCCATGGCTTAGAAGAACTCACCCAGTAAGCTTCATGTATATCTCCCAACAAATGTTTTTGTGTGCAAACAGATAATATTTTAACTGCCTTCCAGAGAAGTTTCCTTTTTAGCTATCCACATTGCTTAAAAATAATGTTGCAATTATTGTGAACTTCAGATGATGTTGAAATAAACACAAGAAAACATTGTTTTAAGTGATTTGGGGCTTGATCTGTATTTACTAACTTTAGTACTATGATTTATGATTGTCTTTTTGAAACAGAAAAGCTGTTCTAGACATGTGCTCTTTTTTTAAACAGTAATTTTATTAAAAAATACAGTTGCAATGATACAAAACTAATATATACTGTCCTGATCAGCAAAAATCCATTAAGGGTTAGCAGAGGTAGCTATGCTAGCATTGATCAAATAAACTAACATTATATTCTTTTCTTTTGCTTTTTAACAATCTTGATCTTTAGTCCCTTCAATATTGTAGAACTGAATTATCTGTTTTTTTTTTTATCCCTTCCCATCAAAGCTTTAACAAGTCTCTTTTTTTGTAAATCCAGTATAGGAAAATTATTCAGATCAGTCTCTTGGTTTGTTATTTGTATTTCTCTTTAATTATTAAGACATCAGATGATTTCTTTTATATGTCTAATGTAGGACCTTTTCTATATCATTCGCGTAGCCTGTCATTTTCAAATTCACTTTCAGATCAGTTGCAGTCTTATCTGATAAAATTTGTTCCTTTACTATAACATGTTTTAAGCATTATACATGCTGACACTCTTAAAATTAACTTCTGGGTCCATTGTTAAAAAAAAAAAATTCAATATGCCAATTGTTAAAATATTTTTGATTAATTCTGCATTAGTAAGTTAACTTTAAATATTATTCTCATTTAATTGTAGTCTTTAATTCTGTCCAGTTCCATCTAGTATCCAACTTTCAAAGTCCCACCCTGTCATGTTCTTTTAAGGAACACAAAACAAAAACATTTTCTCATGGGAAGGATTCTTATAATTCATTCCAAAAATCTTACTTCAACTACATCTATACTCTTAGTCCGCTTGCAATTTTCCAAAATCAAAGTTATAATCAGCCTTTGGCTATTTATTGTACACCAAAAAACAAGTTTTTAAAGTTGTTAAGTTTGTATTTAAAACTTCTTTTTGCTAATATTTTCAGACTTGTCAGTCCAAAGGTTCCTGATAATTGAAAAGCACTTAACAAGCAGTTTCTGAAGTAGTTGGAAAAGCAAGTATGCAAACCCAATATATTTTTGAAGGCGCAGACCATGGTTGGAACAAGATGGCTCTAAATTTACGTTGTCTTGTCTTCTCATGAGATGCAATTGTCTGAAGTACTTGTGAAATGATCTCAAGTCCCTTCCTTGTCAGGAGAAGAATTACAAAGAGTCGATAAATTTTAAGGTTATTTCAACATAGTCATTGGCTCTCCTTTTAGAAGAGCAGTTTTCATAATTTCTTTCCTGGAAACATTTTGGACATGTGTTCCAATGTATTGCCTTTAATAATGGGTACTTATTACTTTAGCTGTAGAAAGGATAATATTCAAGAGCACTGCTTTAGATACAAGATATTAGAATCAACAGATTCTTGGGTCACTATAACAAAGCAGATCCTAGATTTTTTTTCTCTTTTCTCATGATTGTTAGCACCGGAACTTCTCATGAACCATATTATATGTCTCTCTACTCAAAAAAATAATTCTCAGTTTAACTTTCTGATGTTATGAAAAGGTTCTGTTCTGACTTCCAAATATGAAAGACACAAGTTGTTTTCCATGTACAGTTAGCATGCCCTCTTATTTAATGTATTAATTTATTGATGCAGTTTCAAACAATGTTCATTTTTTTCAGACTAAACTCATTCATATGCATTTTTTATTATTGCATATACATTTGGTTTTGCAATCATTATACTTCTGTGCAAACCTGAATGTTGTGCTATAATGAACAATTTCCTTGGAAACCATTCACTTCCTTAGTAACAGAGTAGAGCTTAACAGCAACGAAGAGATCTTGTCTCTCTTATTTAATTGATGTGAAAGTGTGCCAGGCAAATCATTCTGAAAAGGCAAAAAGGCCATGATAATTCAAACAATTAGTTTTAATGACTACATAGATATAAAAGATAGTAGGGATATAGAATGCAGAAATATACTGATGATATATTGCAACAATAGAAACCAAGATTTCTAGAGCTTCTATTTTAATACTAGGTGATGTTCTAGAGGAAAATCAGTGTGTTAATGGTGATAAAATTCCAGCAAGAAAAATTATCAAAGGAAATGGGGAAATTGAAAAGCAAAATAAAAATAAAAATTCTGGGCAATGAAATAATTGAAATTGAATCATCTTTCCCTAGGTGCTTTGTAAGAGATATACATACTGTATATACATTGGGACATATCTCTGAGGATGTATGCCTAGAATCATACTTGAAACAGATATCACAAAAGTTAATTATCCTTGCAAAGCAAATTTCCTTCCACAGAAGACAAAATAAGAGATCACTTGAATTTCCTATATGCAGTCAGATGATGTTAGGGCATACCTTTTGAGTGGTTATAAAATCTCTCCTATATGTAGAAGGTGACTGCAGAACAAGACTGCTTTATTGCTAGTGAGATTTGCTTGCTCTGCACGAACCTCTTACAATGGGCAATGGGGAAATAGAAATGATTCTTTCTTTTCGCCTGTGAGTAAAGGAAGAAGGTTGGTTTTTTTTTTTTTTTTGAGGTCTTCTATAAATAACAGTTTACTCAACCCTAAACCCAAAAAAATGTCAACAAATGCCTAACCAG